TGTCAAACTAAACAAGAATGTCATTTATTAGCCAAATCAAATGAAATGATGTCAATTTCATCGGATATTCTTCATGGAAATCTTTCACAAAGAAAACGAGAACAAGTTTTAACGGTATATATATATATATTAATAAATAAAACCATTTTTACTAAAATAATTTATTTAATATAAAAATATTTCAAAGAATTTTCGTCAAGGTAAAATTCGTCTATTAATAACAACAGATGTATCGGCACGTGGTCTTGATATTCCACAAGTTGAACTTGTTATATTAACATCACCACCACAGGTTTAAAATGATAGATGAATTTTTTTAAAATTTAATTTAAATAAATAATAAATCATATTTGAATAGGATTGGGAATCTTATGTACATCGATCTGGTCGAACTGGACGAGCTGGAAAAACAGGCACAGCCATCTTGATTTTTAATCATCAACAAATACAACAATTAAAACTTGTTCAAACAAAAGCTGTATATTGTTTTGTTTTGTTTTTTTAATTTTATGTTAGAAAATTTTCTTTTTTCTTTTTTAGAACATCCAATTTAAAAATATTCATCCGAGTTCATTAGATTGATATTTTTTTAATAAAATTAAATAAGAAAACAGATGATCAATTTAAATAAAACTAAAAATTATTTTCTTTCCAAAAAACTAAATAATTATAAAATTCATGTTATATTAGTTAACATTAAACATCAACTATTTAAAGCTTTATTTCATATATTAATTATCTTTTCGATCCTACTCTCTAGGATTATCATTTTTTGTGAAGAACTAAAAAACAAAAAATTTAATTCATCATTACAAATGATACTTTAAAGAAAATACTTTTATCAAATGAATTAATGTAAACATTTTTTTCAATATTTCCATGTAGCACATAGTTATAGTGTCGAACTGATCACTTGTCGAAATTTGACTAAAACTAATCGGGCTCGGGCTATTCGAATCTACAATCAGATTCTTAAAATAGTAGATTGGAATTATTCATTAGAGAAAAGTGTTTTTTTTTTTGAGAAAATAATGATTTCTCACAACAATTTCACATTTATACTTCTGCAGACTAATATCTACTAGGCTGAGAAATGCATTAGCCAATATTGAGAAACTGACTGTAAATTTGAATTTCTTGCCTCCGAATATTTTTGATGAAATTTTGATAACTGATCAAATTGACATAATCATTATGTATTAAATTGGAATATTGAAAAAACATCTACTTTAGCTTAAATGTAATGTTAAAGTACCAATCAAAATGATAACTATTCATATTCAGAGATATTTCTAGTTGAAAATAATTTATTGTTTCTTCCAAACAAAAGAAAAAATGAATAACTGATTGATAGCAGAGATCATTTTGTAAAACGATTGTTATCTATATTGATTAGTTAAATAATCTGATTGATCAACAAGCAATGTGTTACATCAATATTACATAAAATGAGGATTTATGAAATTAAAATTTCACACTCGTCGTCTATTTCATATGAAGGTTTTCAAGAAAAATCAAAATCAGATAAAATGAAATTTCTCAAATAACAGAAGAATAAAGAAAAAAAGATAATCTTAAATAATATCCATCATTTAATATATGTATATAAGAATAAAAATAAATACTATCAACAGAATTCAAGACATATGAAGCCTTTATCCGACCAATGAGTCAAATTTCACATTGTCATCGTTATTGTTAATTGTTAACTATTGTCATCTCACATCTCACTCAGTAAAAAAATAAGAAGTTCAGGTTATGATTAAGAAGTAGAGAAAATATTTGACGAATACTCAAAATATACTATTTTATAAAAATCTTCAATCAATAGACAAAGTTTTTGTTGATTATAAAGAACATAAATTTCATTCGAATGATATATAACGATGTCAATCAATTAATTCTTTGTTGACATGACCATCATTTTGAAGATTTGATAAAAGAAAACTTTAATTTCCTTGTTGCTGTATTTTGAAAATGTGAGATATCTTTGTATTTCTTATGCTCTAAATAAATCAGTATACAATTAAAGATGGGCAATATTTTGCAGTAAAACACTGAACGCTTCATTAATATCAGCATTACAGAGTTCGTCTATTTCTACAGGGGTATGTTCGCCTAATGCATAAAGAGTCATCTGTGTTGATGATGATTCAAATTGATCTTTCACTTCTTGTTTGATTTTTTCAACATCGAAATTTTGATCAAGATCATGATGATTCGACAACCATTGGCGTATGGTGGCGAGTCGTTCTATTTCTTTTCCATCAGGTTCATCATATTTTTCTAAGAAGAATTTATGACTAGTTTTTGTTTTACATTCGAGCTCACCGGCAAAGTAACGCTCGAGTAACTTAGTCAATTGCTGAACATTGTGGAAAACATGAAAATATGTTTGTCGATCATCGTCATTGTTATGTTGTTCCACTTTTTCATAAACTAAGATGTGCTTCTGATCATTGAAATAGAGTGCTTCAAACGGAATCGACGAATCGGAATCACAAATAAGAACACGTGCATGTTCGATTAGTTTTAACGTATTCGTTTGTGTGTCAGGTAAAATATTTTTCGATGTAAGAAAATGTCGTACACTTTCTTGTTCCAACGCACTCAAAGAAAACAATGGATTTTTCTCGTTCTTGAGTTGTGGGTACGTAAGAGGATGTAGCTTAATAACATGCGGAAATGAGAAAGTAACAATTTGTTCGACAATTTCTTTGTTCGACAAAAGACTATTTGGAGTATCTTTAGATGAATAACTTGGACAGATGACAACTTCAATATTTTTCTCTATTTCAATAGATGATGAATGTTTCGTACGCATATAATTGGTGAAAGTAATCGGTAACCGATGTGAATGTGCATAAACACAACTTTGACATCCATACATACAGTGACCCGTCGAATACACATCAATAATAGACGGTGCATCTTTCTGTATGCTACAGAAGAAACGAAACTGTGACTGACCGAATGGATAATTGATGGACGCAGTGAGAAGAACAACAACTCGCCGTTGTTGGCGTCGTTGTTCGGCAAGCTCTGACAGAATTGTAGCAATGCTGAATTCATAAACGTGAACATGATTTGATGTAGCAAAATAGTCTTTTATGAGCTGTCGCGCTGGATTCCATTTATAAACGAAAAGATAAACGTCAGAAAATGAGACAAATGAAAGAACCAGTTCTATATGAGCGTAGCCTGTATGATATGGTACAAAAAAGACCAGATTGTTTGACATTTCAGTACTCCTGTTGTTTTATTACATCCTCCTATGATTGTATGCACAGAACAGAAAGAGAATTGATTGGTGATCAAGTCACCATTGCTAACATATATGCACTAAGCAAGTGCATTAAGATGTATGTATAGATGAACAAACGCAGATGACGTCAGTGAGTTGAAATGATTCTAAGTCGATCTTTGTAAAGAATATCTCATGACACGAATGATTACTTGATCGGCACAAATTTAGAACGATGTTGTGCATATTTAAAAAGCGAGTAAAGAAGCATGTTTGATATGTAAAATAGAATTTTAAGAAAATGTATATAAAAAAACTGAGTCAGGATAAGCGTGGTACAGACCAAAAATGGTACAAACTTTCAGAGTCGAAGATGCCGACAAATTAACTGCTAAGAAAATTACAATAATTATGGCTACATCAGAAAGAACTAGAGAGGATAAGACCGCTTTTCTGCTCCCATCCAATGAAATCGAGTTTTTTTTTATTGTAATGAAGTTAAGTATTGACCCTGATCATGCTTTGAAGGTTCATTTTCAAATAACTCAAAAAAGAAAATTTTTGGTTTTGCTTTTGAAATAAAATGTGTACCTAATATAGAATTGAGAATGCTTATTACTTAAAAAACTTTACTATTTTGACATGACCCTACCGCTAAAAGCTAAGCTTCTAGCTTTCAATTGTTCATGTGATCTTTAGGATCTATGAAAAATTTACACTTTATATATGAAACCTCATGATCTCTCTAAAAATGAACGAAAAATTGCTCGGACACCAACATGTTGTGTGATACTTTAAGATCAGTGAGTCCAAATTTGCTTTTTTCATCCCATATGCAGTTTTTGGGCTCCTATTTCTTCATCAAGGAGATTAGAAGCAATGTCAATTTTGTTTTAGTATATGTTATTTTTCATGCTTTATCGATCTGTAATATTTAAAATACAAAAAAAACGAATGCGTCAATATCATATTTTTCAAAAACCATCGTTTTTTCATTATTGCAATCGAAAAAGTGTTGCAACTATACCGAATAATCGTTGAATGTTTTTGAAAACTGTACTACTTATGTAATATACGAAGGATGAAATAGTCTCAACCATGTGAATGAAAAAGATTTTGCTGGGCAAGTCCTATCAATCAGGACTTAACCTGTACAATCCGTCCACGTGGCCTATGACTATTTAAATGTGTACATAAACATATGCCCGTAGGGTATGAGTGTGAGTGCATCGTCTCTTGAACAACATTACACCCACAAAATTCGACATTTTTGAATGGAAGAAGGAAAGGGCTTAAAATTGAAATAAAATATTGTACAGATGTAGGTTCAGAAGCAGAGATGTCCATCGCGGCGCGGCAGCGGCAAAGTTTTTTGAAAAAGCATCCCAGCGCGGCAGCGGCGCGGGAGATTTTTAAGCAATACAGTCGCGGCAGCGGCACCTTATTTCTGGAAGACATTGCAAAAACTGCATGAATTTGCACAAAAATTGAGTGTCCACAGACGTAACACTCTAAAACTCAATGAATCTCATCGATTAATGACAAGAATTGTATTTCAATATACATTCACAGCAATGAAATTCGAAACTTTTTTTCGAGTACCATCGCGGCAGCGGCAGATTTCGAGCCGCGATGGACATCTCTGTTCAGAAGTGGGCAAAATTTATGAAACAATATAAAAGAAAGAAAAATTTAGTTTTATTTTGTATATCACTTCAAAAAATAGAACCGTATTTAATGATACAAAAATAGAGGCAGCTCACATTAGTTACAGCTGTGACATGCATTATTAATAAAGTTAGATTATATGAAGAAACATCATTTGTTTAGTAAATGTCTATATAATATATATGAAGGGTAACATTCGTGTGGCAAAATTGATTTGTTATTATACAAGAATGTCGTCTACGATAGAAGAAACATCATTAACAAGCGAAAAGGAAAATGTTGAGCAAGTGTCAACTAAGAAATTATTTCGAACTCACAAGTATCTTCTTATACTTGTTACTGCTCAATGGGTAAGTACAAACAACCAGTGAGCATTTTTTTCAATGTAATTTTATTCATCAAACATTTTTTATAACGTGTATGTTTTTTATATAGATTTTTTGCCTTATTGAGCCTGCTATGTTGATTTATTCTGCAATCACATCAAATGAAGGTGATATTTCAAGCAGAATTGAATCATCAATACCTTTATTCGTTTTAACATTTTATTACACATTTGGACTCTTTGTTATTTATAAATATCATCGAATTGGAATCCTCATCGTATGTTAGACTAGATTCTTAAATAATCTTTTTTTATCTGTTGAAATTTAAGTTTGCATCGGTTGGAGTTCTTCTATTTGTAGCAACATCTCTTTTGATTGGTTGGATCTTGTTCCTTATTATGATACTCGCTTTAGATTCCAGTGGAATGAGCACTATGTTTCAGCTTTCCTTAATATTTGGAGTTATATTTAGTGTTTTTGCTGGTATTGTGGTGAGATACTTTTTTTTGCCTATCTGCATAATCTATGTATTACTAATAGATTCTAACTCTTAAACTGGCTTTCAATTTGGCAAAATCAATTAAAATAAATGGATATACAAGTGTTTAAAGCCATTTTAAAACTTGATTTCAATAAAATTTATCATCACAAAATAATTTCCATTAAACTTAAAATATATTATTCTTATATTGAATCATTGTGATCTTCGAAAACAGTTTTCTTATTGTTGTATCCAATGAACAAACCAAGAATCATAAACATTAACTCGAGAATAAATACATCCTCATAATAGTCTGTACTTTTGAAAATCTAATACAAAAAAAATGATCTTTCAAAGTTGTATCATAATCTAATGAGTTCTCATTATTAATCGAATTCATAATCTGAAAAAAGAAATATAAAACATTTAAATTATATAATAATTACAAACATTTCCTTTGCTATCTCCGTAATTTATAAGTATTCTTTAAATTTATTATATCAATGACAATCCTGTTCATATGAAAATGTTTTGATCACTTCGAATGGATCCAATAACTAATGAGGGATCTCCTCAGATGTCTCCTTCTAATTTCAATGATTTGTTTTGTTTATACATCCTATGTACAGAATATTCTAAAAAAGACTTAAAAAGAGTTGAGTTCTTATTGAGCTTTGGCTAAGCTATTCAGTTTTTTTCCTGAGGTCCCAGATTTTTGAAAAAGTCATATTTTCGAATTTCAATCTGAAACATGCATGTTGTAAACACTATTCACGAAAAAGGGTCTAAGCCGTGAAAGTCTAGTATCTCGAAGAGACTTTTTTTGAAAACTTCTGCGTTTTTTTAATGAAAATTACTCTAGTTGAATTTTCTGTATGCGCAATGTTTCAGGTCAAAATCGAAAATACGAGTTTCATGAAATCCTGGAGCCTTTAGACATACAATGGTTCCCGAAATTGTTCATCCAGGTTTATTTTCAATTTTTTTCTACTATCATAGCCTCTAATCGGAATCTAAATAGTGATTTGTGTAGAGAATTTCATTTTCAACAAGACTTTTCGAAGGATAGGATTTCTGAAAACCAAAACCAAAGTTTTTCCGCTTCCAGAAGTTGCACATAAAATTTTGTTTGAATTACACAGAATGATAGAGCAAACAATTCTCTACTAACAGAAGTGTATTTTGGCGCTCTACAACGTTTTTTTGATCAAGATAAATCGACTCTATAGAAAACACAAAACTCATTTTTCCTGTTAATTCGTATAGAAACATCATTTTTGTGCTTTCCGTAAGATTGATATATTTGGGTCAGGAAAACGGCGTAAAAAGCTGGAAGACGTTTTATTTTGTAGAGAACTGTTTGCTGAATCATTGTATGTAATTCAATCTGAGTTCTATTTGTGAATTCTAGGAGCTGAAAACCTTGTTTTTTCATTTTTCAGAGACTTGATCCTTGGAAAATTAGTAATTATTTTCATCTTCGAAAATAAAATGCTTTACACAAATCACTATTTGGATTCCTATTAACTCCCCCTTCCCACAACAGAACATCCCCCTACAGAAAAAATTCACCAAAAGTAATAGAAGACCCTCTTAATTAATTATTTTTTTTTCGAAAATTGAGAACTTTAATTAGTGTGTTTACATTTAAATATGTCCTGTGCTGAAGGGTTTGGGTTGAAAATCTTAAAACAGTGAGTTAAATATTATGTCTGAGCTTTAAAAATCGTAAAAAAACATTCTCAAAATCGCTTCCCTTTTCTAAGAAATCATTTTAATTAAAAATTATGAAAATATCTCATGTAAAAAAAATAGATGGAAAAATCTGATTTCAATCAATTTGGTTATGATTAAAAATCGATTAAAATCACATTTTTCCGATCATTTTTTCATTGGGTATCTTTGAATCAATTTCAATCTATTATTACTTCTTAGTGGATTTTAAGCATACGCATCGAAGATGAGCCCTTTTCTCGAGGTTCGAACGCGAAACTCCGATTTTTCATCATATTTTCTTGATTGCTTGTATTTGTTAATCATGGAGCTGCCGCTAAGCTAAAGTCAGACAAATAAAATGAAGTTGAAACTGGTATTTAAATTGCTTC